TACTGTAAAATACTTTACTTTCACGTGAAATTAATTTCCACTATTTTCGCTCTAGGAATGATTCAGTGAAAATAAAATCCAGTGAATATACCTTTTTTCCTATATTTTACATTCAACTTGTCAAATATCAGTGAAAATAAATTGCATACAAAACACCCAAAATGTCTTTTCAGTGAAAATTAATTCAACAGTACTTTTCTTACACTCCACCTTCATGAAAAGAGGTACTCTTACCTCTGAATTTATCAAGTTTAAATAAAGATTAAATCAAATCAGCCATTTGTCTCATTGGTAAGAAGAGAAAACCCTGTGGGGTATATATATATATATAAAATTGATGATCAAGTCGGAATAATCCATGCAAAGTCAGGCTACGATACAAGCTCCAAGTGACTCCAAGCAGCATTGTTCTGGTATTTGAATCACTTGACAAATTCAGGGTTACATTCAGCAACTTTCAACTATCCATCATGTAGGGACCATTGATGGTCAACATAGAAAACACAAGTGATGACTAACCATAAATTTTCAGGTCAGGGGATTCCATTAAACTGCTTTCAAAATGCAAATAGATTCACCAGATGGCAACAGGTTGTAGAGCTTTCAAAGCATGTCGGCATTAATGCATTTTAATTTTTGAGTGAAAGAGCAAAATGAAATGAAACCGCCATAAAGCTATAAATACCACATGGCCCAAAATGACTTGAAATACTCAGATAATTAAACATTTCAGTCAAAATCAGAATGCACATAATTTATGTTGAGTTAAATATATGGGTTCATTTATATAATCATTGATTATAATTAAAAAAAACTAGTAATTCAGTGTTTTTTCTTTCCCAGGTTGTAACTCGCACATGTTGCAGCTGAAACACGAGACGTACTTTAACATCCAACAAAATAATGTGATCTACTCTATTTTTTTTCTTAAAATCATGAATTTTGCAACACTCAAAATCAGAGTTCTTCAGGCAGGACTTGCGTGATATATCTCAGATAATCAGATCCTTATTATTTTTAGCAATGCAAATTGAACAATTTTTCGGCTGGAGAGAAAATTAAAGCATGGAAGAAAGTTTCAAATATACAGTTGGTGTACTTCCTCAGGTTAAAACTTGTATTCAAATTTTAATACTTTATATATTGGAGGCAATAGCTGATAAAATATTAAATTGCGTGGCCAACAGAATCGCTTTACAAAACACTCAACTTGAAAATTAGAAGATATGCCGTTTTCAATTATAAACAGGTTTGTTTTCGCGGGGTTGGTCCATCTTTTCAATCGCTACGTGACCCTGATAACGTCACTATCATGAATGGTCATAATAAATAAATGTGTTTGTAAAATTGAAAATTATAATCAAATGAAAGGCACACAAAAGAACCATTAGCACCGAAACACAGAATGACATCAAATGCTTCTAGAAAGTGGGCTCAGTAAGCCCATGATTGTTTACATAGAAGATGCATCATGGGAGTACCACAATGCACATGGTAAATACTGTAAACCACTTCAATTTCGCAGCAAAAATTCTGTAGCAGTGAAAATTTCTCTGGGGTCCTACAACAGCCTGGACTGTCATACTTTTAGTTTAGTATTCACAAATCCTGAAATCACCAACAATTGTTAGCAGTTAAAACTAAGCAGTTTACAGTATTAGTGTAGAAACAGCCTAGTTGTGGATTAAATTTTACTTTGTTTACATTGTTATGGTGCAACCACTTTAACACAAACTAAATCCAATTGCAATGTTGGCCTCCTTTGACATGCAGTTTCCAGGACAAACCTGGTCTGAAAGCAGTACTTATTGCACTTGACCCATACTGGTGACCATACGAGAGGAATACTTACTTTGTGTTGTTTCCCAGCTAAGCCCGCCAACAAAAAGTTTTCTGCAAGATACAAGAGAAAAAGAAATTCCAGGTAAGTGATGAACTCTAACGAAATAATGAATGAAGAAATGTGTAATAATTTGATTAGTTGTGACAAGCGCAGTTCAACAGACTGAAAACAACAGAAAGCATGTCAAACAGAGAAAATGATGGCATTACAAGTGGACAAAAAGCAAAATTATATTTATAAACATCACCCAGTCTATAAAATATTTACTGGTGAAGCCGTCAATCCCTGCAATACCCAGGGAGTTGTTGGACATGTTGTTTATATTGTTTACTGATCTGCTATTTGTTTTCCAAATTTTAATCCAGTAAATAGATTTGCTAGAAGATTAGGCTTAACAGTACTAGTCCATAAAGGCCCATGTCTTGCCACACCAGCTGCAAGATATTACAATCCTGATTGTATTGACTATGCTGTGTCCCATTCTGAACAGCTCTACATTTTATATCAATATTTAAATCCTAAAAGTCTTTTTTTTTTTCACTTATTGAATTTAGAAAATAAAAACCCTGGCAGCACACGGTGGCAACAGTCCCTTACTGTAAGCAAATGTATATGCGTGTATATACAAATGGTGGTCTATAAACCACTTTCATGACCCGCTAAAGGTCATTCATCCTGGTACTTTTTTTGTTCCTAATGGAAACATTTCACTCGTAGCTAAAACAAAGTCTAGAGAATTGAGCACTCAGAGGACAATATTGATGTTCCAAAATATCTTGATTTAACACAAAATGTATACAATTTCAAGGTGAACTACAAGTCAACCATTTGAATTTTTTAGCCATTCGATAATATGAGGTTATTGCAAGAATATTTCAAAGTATGCACAATGACAGTACAGCTGAGTATCAACCAACGCGTAGCGTCTAACGGCATATCATGATATATTTACTTTTATCAAACAAGATGAGAAATCTTGCAGGGAAGGCTAGTTACAATGTATGTACAGTGGATCAGCTAAAAATAAACACTATAAAAGTACTTTGTCTGCATTACTGTAAGCACTGTATTAAACTAGGACAGATAACACAATAAAGAAGTTTCATTATAAATTTTTAATGACTAATGACTCATTACTAATGAAATAGGACATCCAAACTGCTCTAAAAGCAAACCTTGACACTGTTCACCACATTACACAATCTGAGAAATCTCTTTACATTTTTGACATAAATCATTTTGGTACATCATATAGTATTATTTCTGACAGCACGAAGTCAAGAACATTAATTATTCACACTCTTAACCAAGATTTCATTTTATGTCACAAGGGATTGTAATACAGCAATTGGCACTAACCAATGTAGTCTTCCCAACAAAAATTTATAACCTATTCCAGACAACTTGTATATACAAAAAAGGTGTCGATAATTGATAATTTATTCTTGTTTCTAAAATATTCTAACATGGTCATGACAACACAGTAATGTTAATTGAACATTTACATTGCATTTGGGGGATTTGATGAGTGAAAGAGCAACGAATGGCAGACTGAAGCCTGCAGTGATGTATTAAGCAGTGACAAGACAATCTTTAATACATCTTAGGGGTATCACACAACTCATTATCAATCACGACACAGTCTGAACCTTACAACCATTTTACCATTAACTTCAACTCTATTTTTTAAATGATAGTCATTTTTTTTTTTTCATCCTTCTGCACACATGATGTAATTGCTTATTAATGTTTTCAAAAGGTGACAAAGCTAATTTTGTTAAAAATGACAGCTGATATCCATGATCTTGACAAGGATGGAATTGCTTTCTGTCTTTTCATTGAGGATATTTCCATAGGGCAACTGTCTGTAGACACACAAAGATCTAGGATTTTTGGACCTAGGAACAAAAAAGGCAATATGCACAGCGCCCTCAAACTACTTAACTTGTATACATGTCCCAAACTTATTCTACTATGTAATTTAACAAGCAACTGATTTTTATATTACTGTTCATTTTACAAAAGGATGCTGTCTTACGACGACAATGATGTAGAAAGCAAATTGAGTAATCAGTCATTAGGGCGCAGATTAAATTGGTTCATTGATTGGAAATGATACAAATCAGCTACATTAAACTCAGGAGGGTCAAGTGTGCTACAATCTGTGCTACTTGTCCAAACAGAGATAGCTATGGTCACGTGATCAGATCAGGTGACATGATTGTTAAGTCATGCAAAATTCATGCAACTAGACCATACATGTAAATATTCTAAAATTTTTAATTGAGTGCAATTAACGTAAAGCCAGTCATGAAGCAATGTAAATTAAAATCAGCATCAAAAGAAATTCATATTGTAGATTCGAAATTGAATACTGATCAAAAATCAGCATGTTTGGTATGCACAAGACAAATCCTTTGAAAGACCTGAAATGACTAACCGTGTGGAAAAACATCATACTGAATCGAACTACTAGAATGGATCGATTTACGCTGCAATGTAACCAAGAATACAATACCTCAGGATTGGTTGTTTTTCCATTTCACATAACACTCTTAAGGGTAAAAAAAGCTCCAGGGTACTTGTCCGGCGATGGAGTTCTCAGACAAAATACTTAAACCGTCCAAGATGAGATTTGAGAAACACAAGGACCATCCAAGAACAGTTAGCTGGTTACTGGGGCCAAGGGTTACAGCTTACCCACAGTGTAGTATTTCTTACATAGCTTGTTTAGTCTATGTTGTCTTTTTGGGGAGAGAGCAGAGAATGGTACCAGTTTTCTATCCTTTGAGAGAAGTATATTCGAAGGAAAATTTTGACACGATTATAATTACTTTTTCAGGAAAAAACCAAAAAACCAAAATATTTGTACATAATTTATTTATTGCAGCATGGCGAGATGTAATTCTAAATAACAATTCTAAATAACAATTTTTACTAACCTATTCCCCACCCCCTCTGTAATAGAACACAAGCATGATCTCACACACTGAGCCATGTTGAGAACAGCATCTATAGGCAAATTAAATTTTTCACTTCCATGCATAAAACGGTTCTGTCCTCAAAATGTAAACAAACATTCAATTTTGTTTATGTTTCCAGTGACCTCAGAGTGCACAGATGGGCAATCCATGCCTCCAGCACAGGATAAGAAAACTCAACTCAGTTACTTAGCTAGATGGATGTCTTGCAGCAGTGTTTTAGTAAATGGATGTACGCCAAGTCATGAAAACCACATATGTCCACTTCCTGATGTCATTTCTTTTTTTGTTCAGTATTTTTTATTTTTTCAGTAGGTTAGGGGGGTGAATTTAAATGGAATCAACAAAAAATCGTATTATCCAGTTACAAATGTAAAACAGATCACCTCCGATTGTTAAAATGAAATTGTCAATGACCTGGATGCAGAGTTTTAAACCAAGTGCTGACAGCAGCATGTAAGTATCAGACGTGCATGCACTCAGACAAAACCTGAATTTACAAAATGTGATTTCAATTCAGAGACTTGCAAACTGCTTTACTACTCCAGATCAATTTCAGCTGTGTGTACGTTGAGCTATTTTAAGGTTACAATCGCATTCTTTCTGCACTCAAAATAATCCCCTACTCCACAGCCAACTAGAAATACCACAACATGTATAAAATACTTTCTTTCATCAAAGAAACAAGTCTCTTCATCTCTATTATTGCAATACAGTTTTCAACACCAAAAAAACAATTTGCAATGGTGTCACAAGATAGCAAAGACTTTAAAAAACTGGTCGGATCAAACTATTTTACTTTAGTGTGCTGATTGCATGTATGCATGCAGTATACTAGTTTCCTCATTTGAAGAGTACATTGTTTCTATAGGATTGAAACAGGTAACTTTCAAATAACTCGAATGAACAAGACGATTGCCAAACAAGACCAGCCATAATCAAAATAAAAAAAATATAGAGAATGTACAGGGAATGCAACGAATTGATTACCCCAAGTGTCACAACAACTATATTTACTAGCTGTTAGACCATGCCCGAGATTAGCTCCAGTGAATGTGTTCTTATTACATGCTTATTTTGTATTTGATAACTTTTCTAAATGTCATATGCAATTTATATGATTAAATCAAATAAATTGAAAGGAAATTAAATCTTGTATTGGTATTAAACAAGTCCCACAGTATTAGTTAGTCATTTCCTGTTGATGATAGTTTGACCCAACTTGGTCCAATAACAAAGATCTTGAAACGCACATCACTAACCAGTCACAAACTTGCATTTATAAAGATACTTCTTTTGCATTTCAAGTTTATGGGTATCTAGAAGTACACAATCAACGTGATAGCATCGACTTTGTATAATAAAACATATGAATAAACCAGTAACCATTATTAAAGCGGGAGGGTTGTCACCTGCGCACGCACAAGAATTGAGTTCCAAACGATGATAACACGCACTAAGAACGCAATGACACGCTATGGCCACCTGATGCATGCATGAGTGACGACTCTCCGCTTAAATTTTCAATATACCTGACTCAGTTTAGTCCTGAACACTGCCGTCTATATTACGATAAACCGTTTTTTCGGTTCAAACATTCGTAGAAAAGATCTGATCATAAATTCAACTGGTGCCATCATAGAAACACTCAGTAGTATAGCAACTAGCAAACTCCAAGCTTGACTCCTGGGGATACTTGTCAAGAGAAACCCATGAAAGATGAGATTTAAAGTGACAGAGAACTACAGATAAGACTTCAACACAGCCTAAACTTGTCAGATGAGAAATCAATACATCACCAGAAGACTTTAAGAGATGACAGATGATAAAGTAAAGAGGAAAGATTTGCATCCTTCACAATGTTTCAAGTCATCAATCTCAGATCTTATAAAAACAAACTAGAAACTACACAAGATTATGGTGGTCTCAGCAGGCTATCTACTCTCTGACCTGGAGCTCTTTTACAAATTAGCCACATTTCCCAAGCCAAAGCACACTGCTTCCAGATTCCCTAATTAAATCACTTGGGATAGAACCAGAAATAACGATCCTAGATAAGTAACTGGCTA